TGGTTTGACATAAACTGTTCTGCATACCACTTCCCAACTTATGGAAATTATACACTGTTGAAGAATTATGGTAGTAACGGCTGTTAGGTCGACTGATATAGAATGTATGGAAATACGTGTTGAAGATATCTACAACGGACGAAACTGCAATAAACTTCATCATAAGTTTTTTATACTAATAACCATCGATTGGGTTCCTTTGGATTTCGAAATTTAAATAACACACAAATCAGCTATGACTGAATTCTTATGAAAAATAGAAACAGATTTGGGGCTATGGTTTTGTGTTTGCTATATTTGTCAATGGTCATGCAAGCTAAACTCCAATGGTTTCATACTAATGGGAAACCAACACACAGTAGACCATAATTAATTAAAATGAGTAAATTTCTGAACTAATATAGCATAATTCAACACAACGACATGATGCAGATTAGTAAAACAGAACGATTTGTATCGGAATAAATTGAATACACATAACGAATCCTAAATGACCTAATCCAAATGGCTCTCTTCTAACCTTCAAGAATACCGGAATGAAACAGCTGTTCTTACTTAATATTTGTATATCGGTCATCACACAATACGTTATATTTGTGAAGCATATAATTAGCGCAAACCATCGACCGAATTCATAAGTATTTCAGTTTAACGGTAATTAATTAATACCAAAGCGGAAAACTTTTGGGAAATTTCACTGGTTTAATATGAAAAATATCGTAAGTTTAATGAGAGAAATAAACAAATTTCCCAGTTACAACAGGTTGTGAACTTTTTAAGTTTTGTCTACGATTGTATTATCCCTACTTTTTTATACTCTTGTATCTTGTTTAAACAAGCTGGAACTATACTTTTGTATCGTATATCGTTTTCATTAAGGTTTTTCACTTGTCGACTAAAATATATGTTTAATTTTTCAAGAAATTTACAGATTTCCCAACTTAACTTAGTACATTATAGACTGAGTTGGAAGGTGTTCAGTAGCGGAATCCATCAAGAACATTTTGTCCTATTTAGGACTCATCAGTTGAATGTACCTTTATTCTAGAGTTGATTTTCACTTTGGGAATAAAATCTCGTACTATTTCCTTCAAATACCCCATCGTTCTCCACCGAGATATTGAATACAAATAGCCAATGGCTTGTGCAATAAGATGAATTCAATTCATTTGTTTTGGTTGTTTGAATTTTTTTGTTGTCGTGTAGAACTGAAATTGATCAATCTTTTTTTAGGCATATGTACATCCCGTATGGATAACCATAATATTTCGTTTACGTGATATACATTATGATTCAGCAGATAAGTGGATAACATGAAGGTATTTGGAGAGAACGGTATTAGCTTCGAGTCTCGTAGTAAACACGTATATCCAACTGATGAGTCCTAAATTACATGAAACAAGAGTTCTGGATTCTGTTGTTATTAATTATTCAACTCTACGTATAATCCTTGTGACTTAATGTTAAAATTGATGTTTATATAACAAAAGAGATTGATCAATCGTAGTCCCAAACATCAATGGGTATATTCAAATAACTAATACAAACGAAATAACTTTGTACTGAATAAAATAAATATCCTTTTTATTCATTTGAGAATATATACGTTTTGATTGTCAGAACATTATACATTGTTAAAAATGATATTCTATTGAATTGATTAGCCATAACGTACACAAAACATAGTACTTAAAATAATCAACATATGATAATTTCGCTTGAGAAATTAACACATTGAAAACTATCAGAAGTGAGTTTTTCTGGAGATTTTAGTAATTTTATAGTTGAAATCATGAGTCAATTGAAGTTAGACCATCATGGAAAATCTGGAAGCACTGAACGGCCGTTTCATTCTATTGTGGGACTCTTTGGCGATGAGCATCTATGGGCCCACCTCACGAGATTCGAACCCACGCTTGATCTCTAGAACCACTGAACCGGTATCCAACGGTCTTAATGTCTAACTTCAACCAATCCACAAAATTGAGCAACCGTCTACCATTATCTTCAGTGAGTTACTATCTCATATTGAAAACTGGAAAATTTTGGAATATTTTATGTGAATCAAAGTGATTTATTCAATCTGGATAAGCTTATTTTACTAGTACAAATAAACAGTTATCTTATTATAAATGGACATTTTAGCATGTTCTAACATAATCATATTTCACTTAACCAGTATAATGTATTAAAGTTGTTTTTTCGAGACAAAAATAATTTAATTAAGTAAAAAGACACACACACACAACATAGATTAAACTCTGCTTATAACGATACTGCATTCAAACGCATATTAAACCTAATACTTTGGTTGTCTGACTAACTAATAGTCGTGAATTCAGTTGTCAGAATAAGCATCAATACGATACGACTAGAGTATATGATGCTGACAACTTCTGAAGTCCATCATTTACCTGTACCAACTTTCACCAAATTAAAAAAGATACAGACTATACATTTGCAATTTTTACAGGAAGTTAATATTATAAATGAGACCGATTATTACAGGGAAAGTACAAGTCTTCAAAAAAACAACATTATATATAGAAGCCTTATATTATTTGTATAGTAACAAGATTGTATGAGGAAGTAAAGATTATTAAAAAAAGGAGACATGAGTTTAGAGTATAGATATTATGGATAGAATTGATGAAAATCCTATTTCCCTTATTTGATAAACATTAAAAGTTTTTTGTATGTAATTTTAGATATCTATCCAGATTACTATATGTGATGATGAGTAGTATTGAATGACTAGATTTGAAAAATTCAACAAATAGTTGAATTCACTTAGTATTGTTTGTTTGGATCTTCCCATCGATGTGTGAACATCAACTCTGAGATGCAGGTACATCCAGCTGACGAGTCCCAAATAGGACGAAACGCGCGTCCTGGATTCCACTGCTAGCCACTATCCATCTCTGCTCAACAAATAGTTGTTCAAAGAAAAACACTAAACTATACCAAACACCAATACTATTGAAAATAATTTGAAATCAATAATTTATGATTATAAGTTTTATTTTGTTATGTGGTGTGTGCTATTGATGTCGATAGATATAAGTACTATGTACCATTAATTAAAACGTAGAAAGTTGATAAGATTGAAGAGAAGAGAACGAGAACAGAGAATGATTGATGTGGTCAAGGTGACATCACCGTATGTCATTGTACGTTTTGTAAATTGTGAGATTTGTGACAGAATTGAGTTGAAACTTGTGTGTGTATATATGGTATTTCCTGGAGTTTCAGTGAGAAGCAGTGACCAATAGAGTTCAACCAGGTCTGTTGTAAGATAGTAACTCAAGGAAGAAATCGGTGGATGTGTCGCTCAACTTCGTGGATTGGTTGAAGTTAGACATCAACACCATTGGATGCCGGATCCCTGGTCTATCGGTTTAGCGCTCACGCGCGAGACTAATATGTCCTAGATTCGAATCTCGTAAGGCGGGATAGTGGATACGCACTACTAAGGAGTCCCACAATTAGACGAAACTAACGTCCGATGCTTCCAGGTTTTCCATGATGTTCTAGCTTCTGGGTTTGAGTGCCAGAGTGAACACCGATTCTGAGATGCAGGTACATCCAGCTGACGAGTCTCAAATAGGACTAAGCGCGCATCAAACTGGATTCCACTGCTAGCCAATATCCATCCTCGCTTATATTTAGTCCCTTTGAATGATTTCAATAATGCAATGAGAAGATGAAGTTTATCAGAATTATATGATATATTTACGCAATACATTTCGAACAATCTTATCATATATAGTCTTATTAAAACAGTTTTATATGAAAATTAAAAAGTCAACCAGGCAGGTTAAGGTAAACCGTAACAAAGGAAGAAAATAAATAAAGTACACAAAAACAATGTGTTGCCTACTCTGGATAATAAATCAGGATTACCAGGGTAGGTTAAGGGTAAGAACAAATTGCTTTTGAACACATAATGAGGGTTTCAATTTCCGTATAGCCAAGGCTTCAATGAACCTTAGTATACGTCTTTGAAATCTTTTGTACAACACTACGAATGCTGACATGATGTCAACCTTACGATCAAGTTCAACCAAATGTTTCGCAATGGAATAAAATGTCTGTCTATCGTGTAATCTTATTCTTTTTTTTTACATTTCCGTAGTGATAATTCATTGTTATTATCATTTAATATATTTTGAAAAATCTGTTATGCTAATTATATTCAAAGAGTATTGAATCTCTGATCTTTTGTCTTATTATTTCTATAATGTATATTCATACCGATATACATTAGTTTGTTTTCATGATAATGATAGAAACAACTTGAAGAAAATCAGTCACAAGGGAAATTTGTTAAAAGTAATTTTGACACTTTAAAATTTTATACAATTTATACATATTAAGGTTTTGAGTTTACATCATTAAATTCAATAGACTAAGATAACATAAGTGACCTAATTATTCTGTTCCATGGACACTATGTGATAAATACAAAAAGGGAATATTATTATCCTATTCAACACCTGTCAAGTAATTGATGTTACTACCTATTTTTTCTCAACGAATACTTAATATAGTGTCTAAACTTTGATTTAAATCAGATGAAGGAACTGCTCTGTGAATATTAATGTTCGTCAAAGTGTAATAACCGTCTACAGTAACTCATTGTCATTCGATATGAGAACTCGTTATTACTTCTAGGTATATCATTATATTTGATAATTAAGCAAACGTCAATTGATTAAATTGAAATCTTAAATAGTTTAGAATCGTTGCTAAAATTTGAAAAAAGGCTTTATGTCTGTTTTGGGTTTAAACACCGGATTATCCGATATGCTTGAGATTAGATAAACTTTTAAATATATGAACACAATTTACATGGTGACAACTATCTTAAAAATAGTCGCTACTCAAAATAAGATAATCAATTTCGATTACGTAATTAAAATAACTCATCCCTCAATGAATAAATTACATAAAAAGCGTGATATATTACATAATTCAAATAACGTTTCCTTAAAACATACCTTGAAATTCTTTTTGAGCAGCACTAACATTTGTTACAATATTGCTAACATGTCCGAGAACAGTTGCCATTAGAAACATTCCAATAACACCTTCACAAATTAAATAAAAATAAGCTATAGGACATTTTGGTGTTGGAAATCCACCGACAGGAAATAAACTTAACATACTCCAATAAAATGCATGTAAATATTCATATCCATCGTGATGACCTGGAGTTAAATGTATTTTATTAAATGAATGCAAGTCTGGCGACATTGTTATTAAAGAACCTACATCAGTATTAGCAAATGTTACTGTAGCTGACGTTGCTGTCGACAAAATGGTTTCATTATTAATATTGCTTAGTGAATGATTACTTTTTAGTTGTAAAGAACTATCATTATTTATACCGTTGTCACTGACATTACTACGGTTGCTGATATGATTGGTGTTTTGTTTACTATTATTACGATGGCTACTATTAATATTGGTAGTATGATAGTTAGTGTGGGTAGCACCCAAGTTTGGAATGTTTGTTCTTGACCCCTCAGTTATAGTTGTTCCTGAGGTTGGAGACTGTGTCAGAGATGTCATGAACAAACTATCTGCAGTTGAGTTAATCAGCTGAAAAACGCATGCATTCCAATGTAAAAATGTTAAGTAATACAATAGTAATTTAGTTGATCGCATTAAATTGGGATAATTTGTATGTCGTTCAGCTCTGTCCATAAATTGCCAAAATTTGTACACTTTACACAATCGGAATATACGTAAAATAGATTTAAAACCAATGGATAAATATAAAAAGTCTAATGGAAGTAAACTTAAACAATCAATATAAAAACGTGATGAATTGAGATAGTGTGAACGCATTTTCATTCCATCAAATTGCATAACACCATCTTCAAGAAAACCAGTTCTTAACGATATAGTCATATCAATTATATATAATAAATCAGCGAAATAATCTAAAGTTAACCAGAATACAACTGTTTGTTGATTGATCTCATTAAATGCAAATCTATAGATAATAACCCATAAATGATACATAAATACAATGCTGATAACACCACACCATGTATGAACTATACGTCCAGATGGATTAAAATAGAATAATGCACTATTCCAACTAGATTTTCGTAGCTTTTGGGATTTGTTCTCTAGTGATGATGGAGTTCCAAGTATACTTGTTTTATTGACTCCTTGAATTATGTCATGTTTCTCTTTATGATCAGAATAAGAATATGGTCCATTGTACAATAATGGGACATTTGGTTGTGTATTTGAATAGTTTTCGCTCGTTAATCGTTGACATATGCGATTTTGCTTTCCATAAGTTGTTACATTTTCATCAGTTTTATCTTCTTTGCATATAAACCAGTTGGATTGTTTAGAATTATCCAGTGTGATCACTGAATCATCAGAAGTGCTGGCATGTGTATCATCCATTGTAAACTGCAATTTTTTCGAATCAAAGTTGAAAGTATTCTTACATTTGTAACTGTTTCCGTTGATAAACCGTTGAATTCTTTACAGTTTAAATTTGAAGCTGATTGCGACTATAGGTTAGTCGATTTATGATAAGATGAATAACCACATTAAAATAATAAAGAAAGCTGGGAACAAGTTGTGTTCTATTTCTTTTAAAATTACTGAAATTTTAAACCAATCGTTGTTATTCGGTCATCCTGAAAATGAACTAAGTGAGATGTGATTGGCTCGAATTTCAACTAATCAAATTAGTCAATAATTCAACCATATTATTAACCTCATTATTCATCAGTTGGTTTTCATTATTTGCTTTTAGAGTGTTGAATTTCACTGAAATCATGAACCGATCTAAATTAAACCACCATCAAAAACCTGGAAACCCTAGACTCCTTTTTCACCCAAGTACGTGTACTTGGTTTTTTGTTGTAAAAATATACTTATAAATACAATCATACAATGATATTGGATTTTCCCAAGGAAATTCGATCATTGCTATAATTATTTTTACTCATAAAATTTACATAATGACAAGTGTACTGAATTTTTAATAAACAATTTATCCGTTTAGACAATAAAGGTTGTCTGAAAGTATTATCTAGTGGTTACTTCTGCCCATGAAAAGGAATAGTATTACCTAAGTACTATTTAGAGAGGTACAATTGAAACCAACCATTTCGATAAAGCTCATCTGAACCAAAGTTTCACTTTTGAAAAAGGTAATGATTACTGATGTGTGGGTGAGAATGATAATGATTGGTTGTTTCGCTGAGTCAGACAAGTAGATAGTGTGACAAGTGTTATATGTGTTATATATTCCAATATCTTGACTGTTATTCACGGACTGTTCCTTGTTGTTGGACTGTGTCGGATTTTGGTGAGGAAATATATTGACTTTATAGTCAGGCTAATCTCGTGTTCTTGATTTGAGTTGTGTTGAAGTCCTATAGAATAGACACTGGGTGGGAAATCTAGTGTAGATATTCGTCTAAAATTAACTTACACATACGTGTAAAAAGTGACAGAACTGTTATAACAAGAAACTCCAGCGTTATAACAAGTATCCTACGTTTATAACAATTACAATTTAGAATATACTTTTGTTTGATCTATACGAAATTGAAACAAAGCACATCATGATTCTGTTATCGAAATGTTGTTAACATTACAGCTCAAAATAAAATGAAAATTATTGTGTATTCATTAAAATTGATATGATCCACCATGTAGAACATAGCAGTGACACTAATTATGCTAGAATTAATAGAGAAGTAAGTAATAAACTGAAAACATAAGTAAACGTTTGTAGGATCTGTCATAAAATGAGGTGTTTGAGAATTTACAATTAGCGAATCAATGTTATTTAAAAAGGTTAAGAAGTCTTCAAATACTGGTGACAGTTAGCTTAGGGAATCTAATCAGGCATTTTCGACAACTTTGTTTGACTTAAATTAAAAATCACCAGCTCTATAGATTGATGTCATTCATTTATCTGACCATGTGAATCAACACAGCCATTCAGGTTTTGCATTGTTTCAGCATGAGCGATATATAATCTGACAAAGTCAATACATTTTTACAACTTCATCAAAATGAATGGGTACACTTACTTTTGTACTCTAGATTTAATAGCGACAAAATCACTTGAGAAATGCTTTGAAGACCCTTTTAATCTGGTCTGTGGAGCCTATTCATTTATGTCACTTGTAAAGGAAATCCTTCAGATGATAAAGAAATATCCAAAGTAATTTTCCATGGATGAATAAATGGATCCAGTGATTGGAAGTTAGAGAACTTATACTACCCTCATGTATACATGGTGAACTATGGATTTCACCAGGTTCGAACGACTTTTAGAACAACTGATGTCAAGAAATTACTCAACTGTTTTAACTTATTTGCATGATTAGAAGTCATGAAAGACTAAATCAGAAGCATTATTTATAATTGGAACATAAGGGAAGCAACACAATTGAGCTCTCATAAAGCTGATTATTTAAGTCTCCGATAAACAGGAATTCGCCAGTTCCATGAATTCCAAACAGTCGTTCAATCATTGAAAGCGTCAATAAGTAAACCTTTAAACGTTAGAAACACACTTCGACATAATTGAATAAAAATTTTTGCTGAAATCATCACTAATGAATATTATCGTAGATTATCATCAGATTCAATCTGAGAAGTGGTCAAATAAACAGCTCTCAGTAGAGTGATGTAATTATTTAAAATATCTTTTAGTCATATATTTTACTTATATAACTTCTGTAACAGTTGGAACTAGTTTTTTTCTTAAGTCAAGGGGTGCGTCTGAGCCTGAAGAAGATGAGTTCATGTATGTTGAATTTAAACTTGCCTGAGAACTTCTAATACATACCAAAACGTAAATATTATCTCTTCCTTTTAAATTTCAATAAATACATTTATACTAGATTGGGTGGCGTAAATTTTGAGTATTTCAATGACAAACAAGCTATTTTCTCGTGATTTATTTTACTAAGATAACATCAATTGATACCAGCCATATTTATAAATATATAATCGATTTTTAACATTTGAAGTTTATTTGACTTCTAGAAGCATTGGGAGCATTTACATAATGATCTGCCTACAAAAATAAATGAAACTCTATTTGGAAACAGGTTGAACATAAAGTACATTTTTCATTTTCTTGAAACGGTTATGTTAGATTACTGGAATAAACTTAGAATTTTCCCTCTTTGATCGATTTATGCCGATTGTTAAATGTATAATTCTAGACATTTTTAGAATGATTTTATAAAATCAGGTTGGTTTGTTTCCCTGAAGAAAGTGACTTGATCGAATCTGTATGGAAATAACTGGAGTAAACGAGACAAACTTTAATGATTCGTTCTCAACTTGTGACAGTGTATTATGAACGAACCATTCATTCACCTATAATCTATTCTCTAATGCTTTAATGTATTTATTTGAGTCGATATCATTGTACTTCACCTAAAACAATATTGAAAATAAGGTTAATAAATTATTGTTTAAATTGGTTCATAATCAACTTTAGATAAATGGGAGTCCCAACATAATGTACCATTCATATGAGTAGCGTCTGTTTGTCTGAAGTAAGCTTCAGCGAAAAGAACCTGTATATCGGTATATGTAAAACATCTTTGTATTGGTTGTTTGAACTTCCCACTGATGTTTAAGACTGCTGTCTCTTATTGATATATGTACATCCTATGCGGATCGCTTCCATATTTCTTTTGATCCTAAGCATTTGAGGCAATATCAAGGCGATCTCAATAGGATACACATATCTTGATAGGAGGTTAATCAATTACAGTCCTAAACATTAATCCGAAGATTCATACATATCACACAAAAATAAATAAAAACTTCACCACATTGCACAAGGTAGTGACTATCTGAACTCAGTAGGTAAGTGGATAAAGTGATGGCGTTTGAGGTGAGTGGTATTGGCTTCGGATCCCGGAGTGAATATCAATGACGAGATGTAAATATATCTAGACGACCAGTCCCGAATTCCACCGCTAGCCACCATCTATCTTTGTTTATATGTAAAACAATTAGGCTGAAATAATTTTCAGGTAACTATGGTTAAAATTCATTGTCTATACAAAATAAATTTGTAATGTTAAGTTTTTTAGTCAAAGTAAATGAAATTTTTAGTACAAACTAAACTACTGTTTATTCTCACCTATTCAAACTAATGATTTTCTTTTGTCTAAAGTAAATATTTACGGTCAGTATTGTTTAAAACAAATAGACTGGTTAGTAATTTGATTATTTCACAATGTTTATCTTGTCTAAGTAAAAAAGTTTTTGTCTGAATGAGTTTATAATAAATTGGTTGCTTAGATCAAGGTTATTAAGGCAGTTGCAATGAAAATGTTTTATTTACTAATTTCATGATGTTAGAAATAAATTAATTAAGTTGTGGGTTAAAGAAAAGATAATTATTTTGAAATATGAAGATCACCTTAGTTCACATATGGTATATGCTACTTATGTTGATAGATATAAGTAGTATGTAACACCAATCGGAAGTGGAATGCATACCTGTAGAAAATTAGGACGATTCAATTAAAGAAAAGAAAGGCGAAAAAAAATAATTATAATGACACCGAAATTGAAAAAATCATGAAGCAAGTAAAGGACGACTGATGGAAGATATGCAAATTGTGTATTTGATGTGTGGCTTTCATATTTAAAGAAAATACTGCAATATTGCATTATAACATGTTTGTCTTCCTCACCTGAGTGTTCGTTCATTTTAAGTATACTTATTCACTATAAGATCAAGCAATATGGAATTGGTATACTTGAGAATTCAACATTGAAAGTAGAGAACCCTAATGAGTTAAATCCATGATGGTACAAAATATTTTATTGTTTTTTTCTTGCCAAATAACAATTATTCTATGAAAGAAGTTTTTTGTGGATATTGTTATAATTTAATAGTTGAGTTCATAAGTCAATTAAAGCTAGACCAACATGGAAAACCTACCTTTTTTAGTGAGAAAATTGGAGCATAAACTGGTTTTGTTTAAATTTACTTTCACCTACGTACTGGATTAAACTTTTCTGATTTTAACTCATAGAAGAAAAATGTGAACACCATAATTTGTTAAGAAAATTAACCAGTTGTACTGTTCGCATTTTAGTTTTTTATAGAAATTATGAACTTGCCATAATATATGTTTATGATGATTACGTTTCGAAAAAATCAAAACATATTACAGTTACACAGCTTTTTAGTAGTTTATATCAGGGACCATATGGATGATAGAACCTAGGACTTCAGACCTCTTAATATGCAAAATGACTAATAAGTTCAACTTCAACCAAGACGAAACAACTATCCGGTGATTTTTGGTTTCGAAAGATTCTCTTACTTAGATAATCTATTCGTGATCTAATTAACATTTAATTCAGAGGGGGTTTTGTGGAGAATTTAGTATTTTCACAGTTGAAATCATGAGTCAATTGAAGCTAGACCACCATCAAAAACCTGGAAGCACTGAACGGCCGTTTCGCCCTATTATGAAACTCCTCAGAAGTGCGGGATCGTGGATGTGCACTGCTGAGGAGTCGCATAATAGGACGGAACGGCCGTCCAGTGCTTCCAGGTTTTCGATGGTGGTCTAGCTTCAA